TATATAGGAGAAAGGCGACATTTAGAGAGCAAGCCCAAATGAGCAACTCTGCTTTAGAAACAAGCCCAAAATAACGCAACTCGCAACTACCAATATTTGTAAGCGACTAACTTGGCTGAATTGAAAAAAGATGCCTGCTCTTTTGCTGCCCCTCCCTGCAATTGCTTAATGATTCCTTCTCTAATTAAATTACCACACTCACTCATGCCAATGGAAACCCTGACATCTATACTGTCCCACCTTAGTGCAGCCTTGACCATCCTATCTGCTGCCTTGTTTCCCTCTATCCCAACATGGGCCGGGACCCAGAAGAACCCCACTCTACAGCCCTGCCTCTTCAGCGTGTAAATCTGTGTCTGAATTTCCCCCATCAGGTCCGGTCTGGTTCTTGACCTCCCCCCTGCTGAGTCTGAACTTATCCAACGTTATTGGACAGGACAGCGTGGAGTGGGGGGATGACACGCAGCAAAGGGCCATGGGCTGGAGTCGAGTAGGCGGCTGCGTCTAACATGGGGAACCAGCACTATCCACTAAGCTACCGACGCCCCAAGCCTTGTTAATTTTGACAGCTATCTTAACTTTAGTCTTAGTCTTGAGACAAAAATGCTTGTTAGTTTTAGTCACATATTAGTAATTTTTATTCTTCACAGTTTTAGTCAACAAAACTTTGTGACGTTTTAGTCAACTTTTAGTCATCATGTTTTCTATGTTTTTTTGTTTTTTCATCTCTAAACTAATCCAGTGAGGCTAATTCATGTATCAGAAATTAGAAACAAGGTGACAGGTTGCTCTACTGCTCGCTCTGCTGCTGTTCAGAGGCTACCGAGCAGAGCTAACACAAACAGCTAACAGCCACAGCTGTAACTTACAAACTCCACAGATCCATTCAGCAGTTCCACCATCCACTGTCAGACATACACGGCTGATTATTTACTGCTGAATTACAGCTCACAACTCGCACCAACAGCTGACACTGCTCAGCTCTGAGTGTTTTTGCTGGCTAGCAAAACATCCTGGTGCCGACTATTTACTGGAGTTTACAGCCTGTTGCTCATGCCGCATTTGAAGATAATTACAAGCACAGCCGTTCTCGGCATTAAATGTCTGCAAGTCCACCATCCAAGTCATTTTGTCAGCGAAAATGAAACATTGATTATGTTTTATTTTTTATTATCAAGATCTATGCTAAGCTTGTCATCATCTCATTTTCATCATGGAAAAAATTTAAACTTTTTGTCAGAGAAATCAACACTGGTCCCAGGCCTTGTTGATGAGGCCAGCTGTAGTCAGGAACTGTTTCCTGACAAGAGTTTTTGTGTTTTAAAGAGTTTGTGTCCAAGCAGGAGGGATCAGTCACAATCTTCCTGAAGATGTTCGAGTCCTGAAGGCACTTAGGTTGAAGGTTTTTTTTTTTCATTGCCAAGTAATCTAAAGGGGTGCGTTTTTTAACCTTACCTTAATCTTCACACAGACGTCATCATTAAACAAAGTCCAATGTTCAGACAAAAAAATCAGATCAGATAAACGTACCAAATCAGAATCCATTTTAATCTGAATCTTCAGTTAACTGCAGAAGTAGTTTGTTCACATTTCAGTTGTTTATCAGCTGAACTTCTAGAACATACTGAAATTGTTTGCACTCATTCATTATTATTGGTTTAAGTATAGTGGTGGTCAGTAATGTGTCTGTACATCATTCTGTCCTGCAGAGGTCCAGCAGCTGTTGGTGGTTAAAGAAGAGGTTTCCCCTGAGCAGCAGGAGTGGAGCTCCAGTCTGGACCAGGAGGACCCAGAGCCACCACACATTAAAGAGGAACAGGAGGAACTCTGGAGCAGTCAGGAGGGTGAGCAGCTTCAAGGGCTGGAGGAGGCTGGTATCAAGTTCACACTCACTTCTGTCCCTGTGAAGAATGAAGAAGATGATGCTCAGTCCTCACAGCTTTATCAGAGACAAATTGACCAGATGGAAACAGGAGCTGATGGAGAGGACTGTGGAGGACCAGATCCAGATACACATTTACAGCTATCTAGCAGTGAGAAGACCCCACAGCATCACCAACAACAATCTGAAGTCAGCGATGACTGGAAGGAGACCAGTGAACTTCAGTCAGGTTTGAACTTTCTGAAAAATGACAGACGGGATTCCTGTGAGAGACTATTTTGCTGCTCTGAGTGTGGTAAACGATTTAACCAAAACTCAAATCTTAAGACACACATGAGAACTCACACAGGAGAGAAACCTTTCAGCTGCCCAGTTTGTGGTAAAAGATTTGGTCAGAAGGCGCACATGCAGAACCATTTGAAATGTCACACAGGAGAAAAACCCTACAGCTGCTCACTCTGTAATAAATGTTTTTCACGGTGTGAACATTTACAGTTACACATGAGAACCCACACAGGGGAGAAACCATTCAACTGCAGCATTTGTGATGAAAGATTCACATGGCTTTATCAGTTCAAAAATCACAAGTGTGGCAGTGACTCATCTCAGCTTCATGAACTCTGGAGCTGTCAGGAGGGAGAGCAGCTTCAACGGCTGAAGGAGGCTGAGATCACCAAGTTTCCTTTGACTCCAGTTTCTATGAAGAGTGAAGACAGTGGACAGAAAGCTCAGTCCTCACAGCTTCATCAAAGACAAACTGAACAGATGGAAACAGATGGAGAGGACTGTGGAGGACCAGAACCAGCCAGGAACTCAGATGCAGATGCTCTTTAGTTACATGGACTGATATATAACTCATTCATTGGACTGTTCTAGTGATGTCATCCTGAATTCTTAAGGTTTGTTTGAGATGAGCTGCAGCTGGCCTTGTAAGACGTAACCGATCGGGGCGTTATCAAAAAGCATGAAGTCCAACAGCTCAGAGTTTGTTTGACTCGACATGCAAAGGTAGAAGTAGCTGAGAAAGTGGATGCAATAGCCTCTGTTACTGTATGGAGATGAACACAGTCCATGACAGTATCAATATATATGAGAAATATGATACTATTTGCTGACTGGTCACTTAAATTGTGCAAAAGACCTTTGACATTATGAGTGTTTTTGTGCTAATACCAGTAAGTCAAAAGCTATGTAAATAAAGATATAGAAACAAACAAAATATAATTAATAAATAAAAGTGTAATGGTGCGTTCACATCAAACATGATGCGAGCGCCTTGCGTGGCAAGATTACATGCAGAGTCAGTGCTAAGATTGGAATATACACCCATCAGCCAAAACACTAAAAACCACTGACAGTTTACGTGAACAACATTGATCTTCTTGTAACAATGCAATGTTCTGGCGGGAAACCTTGGGTTCTGACATTCATGTGGTTGCCACCAGACACGCTCCACCCACTTGCCATCGACAAGTGCCATTGCCATAAGGGGGTTGGTGGAGTGCATCAGGTAGCATTTACATGAATGCCTGGATCCAAGGTTTCCCAATGGAATATTGCACTGTAACAAGATGATCAATGTTATTCACTTCACTCGCCAGTGGTTTTAATGTTTTGGCTGATCTGTGTATGCAAACATGCTGGGAGATGTGAAGACACGAAATTTGTCATAGTCACGCAAGTTGAAATTTCAGCTTGAGCGAGAAATTTGCGTGCACGTGTCACAAAAGCCTATCAGTAACATCCGCCATCGCATGATTACGGAGCTGAGGTTAAGTGCATTTGGAGCCTTTTAACACTGTGGTTGTCTTGTCCTAGGTCCTTATGAATTCTCTTTCAAATTTGTCTTGACCTCATGACGTTTTCCATCAACGCCAAGGAAAAGTGGTTAGGAAAAGAGATTTTTTTTGTACTATTCGACCGCAGCCATTAAGTACAATCAATAGGCTCATTCAGTCACCCCACAACATGCCAGTTAGATTTGTGTCTGACTTGATTCCGACTTGCTCGGACATCATGCAAAAGTGGACAATGATATTAGGTTCGTTCGAGATGAGCCAGTCCTGCGCAGATTCGATCACCGGCGAACGGCGCACAATGCATGCCGGTTAGTTTTGTGTCCGACTTCATCCCGACTTGCTCTGACGTATTACAAAAGTGGACGGCGATAAAGCCGCGAGAGCGAGGCGGCCACAGTTTTTAGAGCCAGGCGCTGCAGTTGCTCTCCACCGACTGCACCGCCTGGCTCTCACCTGATCTAACAGCTGATTGGTTTAGACGTGGACTCAACAAGATGACGTTTTAGATAAACTACTCATTTTTGTTGAATTCCAGAGATTAAGATTGTATTTGTCTGATCTGAAGGTTTATTCTGTGAACAGAAAACATGTTGTGTGACTGATGGTGAAAACAAACTGATATATGGGTCTGATCACTTTTTTAATGAATTGACATCATTCCAGACAGGATGTAAGTGTGTCTGTGACTTCCTGCATGGACTGAAGGCTGCTGGAAACTGTCGGGAAACTGTCCGACTTCACCGCAGCTTTTTATCACCGCCCCCTGCTGCGGCCACCTGCTCTCGTCTACTTTTCAGGCGAGGCGCAGTTCATCTCGAACGAGCCTAATCTCACAAGATTGCGAATCAGTGCGCATGCGCCCGTGCGTGCAGCCTGTTGCAGTTGCTCCTGCTTGTTTAATCAGTTTTCTTACTTTTTTGCTTTATTAAGTTTGGTATTTGTGCTTGCTTTTTTGTGATTGTCATTTTGAAACTGCGCCCTCTCCAAACATGCTGATTGAGAGAGTTGTGCTCGTTTTCCTCACCCTGGAATTACTTATTTCATTCGGACCCGGCACCATTGCGCAACAACTTCATGGCCGCATTGTTTACTCCAGAGATCAGCTGATCATACTGAGGCCGGCCGGCTTGGCGGCCGGAACATCGGAGATACCAGCTGAACTGTGGAGGAAAACACACAGAGGATGACTGGGAGGAAGTAAACAGCAGCGGAAAAAAGCAGGGTTGAGACAACGGAGGCTTATGGAGAAGAGAAGATATAAGCCGTGTCTCCCCTCTCTCATCATGGGCAACGTGAGGTCGCTGGCAAATAAGATGGACGAGCTGACAGCGGTCGCCAGGAGTCAGGAGTACCGGGAATGTAGTCTGATGTGCTTCACTGAGACATGGCTTCACCAGGACATTCCCGACACGCCCCATAGCAACAGACTGGCCCATGGTTTCGTCCTACCGCCGCCATTTTGGACTGTCAGCAGACCGCAGCAGACCCGCTTGCAAAAACACACAGACAAACTGAAGTATATTGCCATTAATTATGCTTACAATGCTACTCACCTCGTGATAGCTTGGTCACAGCTGCTTTTTCACGTTTTTGTAAAGCAAAATATAGACTTTAATGAAAACAAAACGAAGAAAAACGGCCGAGATGGCATCTCTACATATTACATCCACTTATGAGAAGATTAACTTAATTACTCCTTCAAAATCACCCCATAAGCCAATCTACCAAAAAAAATCAAGAAATACTAAAAAAAAAAAAAAATCAATATTTTAACTAGAAACACATTAATGGCGACGTCACATAGTCAGGAATAAAGATTTATTTACAGTTTGTACAGTAAGGGGCCAGTAATAATAATAATAATAATAATAATAATAATAATATATAAACTATTTTAAAGGGGCAATAAGCAAAATCGTTTCACTGCTAGGTTTGCTGTTGTGCACTGCCTGTAGAGCAAAACAAAGTGTGTCATGAGCACTCCTCCCTCTACCTCTGCTCTCCAACACCCCCTGTGGCTGTGCTGCGTTCCGGCTCCGTCACAGTTCCGGCACTCCGGAGCCCTCTGCAATAGATACGTAGGACTTCTATTTTTGCCGGACGCCGGAGCACAATGCAGCAATTCAGCACAGAGCAGATCGTGCGGGGCAGGAAGTCGTGCACAGAAACACGATAAAACATCCGGTTAATTTTCAAAATAAAATACATAGTGTTCACAGCGGATCATATTTCCCTGCATTACACCTTAAAAACTACATAATGGGCAGAGGCAGGTCTGAAGTCAACAGGTCAGAGGTTTTCAGACGTTATTTCACCCCGTGAACACCATGGACGAGGAGATATTACTCATGGCAGTGCACCGAGTCTTCCGGCGGAGCTGCACCGCACCGCACAGCAAATGCAGCCGGTGGGTGTTGACGGACGGCGGAGCACGCAGCGGATAACCAGCGCTGCCGTTCCGCAACGGACACGAATCCAGTGGAAATCCGGCGTAACGCTCCAACTCCAACTGAGCCGGGAGCCGGGCTCACGGTCTCACGGTGAAGAGTTGGAACATTAGCATGGCAGCCCATTAGTGCTAACGTCCCAACGCTTCTCCGCCAGGCTCAGTGAGTCGGAGCCGAGAAGCGTGGGGACGTTAGCGTTAGCAGTAGTCGGCTACCATGCTAACGTTCCGGGAGCCTGCTTCTCGGCTCCGGCGAGCTCTAGCATGGAGCCTGGCGGGCTCACGGAGAAGAGAGGAATGTTAGCGTTAGCTCCCAGAGTTAGCACTAGAGCTACTACGGCTATTGGAGTAGCTTGCAGCTATGGAGCGCTTCTACCAGCTCTTCTAGTCACTGAGCCTTGCCTCCATTTCAGCAAATATATTGCATTTATTACAGGGACCATCATCATTGAAGTAGGCAGGGGAATAGCTAAACACAGCCCTCCAGGCTGCCCGCCGGGCTACATTTTACAATGCTAATTGCAAATGTTAGCTGGGCTGCCGGGCTATTCACCTAACACAACCGAAACACCTGACCCATTGCTGGGACCGAGCCACTAATAACTCAAGCTCCGGACATTAACCCATGCTACGATGCCTAACGTTACTGTAACACTAATTAAAACAGACATTTGACTTTATGTTGTACCTGTCCAGGAGAAGAAGAGCTAGCTCCAAGTCAGATTGTAGCCCCTTTAGCTCTCGCAGTGCTCTCCACCTTGGAAATGCAAGGCCAATGTTAATCCAAGTCCTGTCCCTTTCTTTATCTGACAACTTCTTCACCAACAACCGCTGTTTCTTTTGGTCGTCTTCAGGTGGACGTTCTGCTCTCTGCCATTTAATTTCGAAAATACGTGCTGCCATTGCTCACTGGCTGTAGCCTTTTATAGGGAGGGAGGGCCAAGGGCTCCAAGAGGAGG